CAAAACAGTGCAAAATGGTTTTCTCTACCAAGCGATATCTTTAAACAGGCCAGATTTTCCCCCCTCGTCGGGGCTAAGGATTTCCGTTGCCTTGACTGTGTCATGTTTGGGTCAGGCGCGGGGGTTGATGTCCCGACCGCGGCCTCTCCCCTCTCTGTCTCGTGCGCCTGCTAGTCTGTGTCCCTTTCGTTGGAGCGGAAGGCGGCGGGTCCTTGATTGCTCTGCCGAGTTGGTCTTTGGCCGTATCTGGTGGGCCCGCCATGGGGGCACTGGCTCAGGGGTCGAGTCGGGCCCACGCCATGGGCAGACCAGGGGCTGTCCAGGCGTCCGCCCACCTGGGTTAGGTGCACCTGGGGTTGCCTGGCTGTCGCCCTAGCGTCGCCCTGTCTTTGTTTCAGTAAGTTTACGGCCCGGGGGGCTCTCCCCAGGGCAGGTTTCAGATTGCGTGCCCTACATCTGGGGGGGGGCGAGGCATGCCGTCGTCCCGGCGCTAGTTGCACCTGGGGCGGCAGGTCTCGTCGTCCTTGTGTGGGCGGTCGATCAAATTTCTCTTGGTGGCAACGCTGCCACCTTGCGTTTCTCGTGCTTGGCGGTGCAGGTTACGCAGCCTGCCCTTGTACCCGAGCCTTGCGGTGGCGCCTTTTTCTTGTGGTGTGCATGGTGTGTGCGCGCGTGCGCGCGTTGCCCTGCGCGAGTGTCAGGCACCCTGCCTCAGGGGGAGGGGGCGCCGCGCATCTCTTTTCTCCTTCCTCTCGGCGGTGCTGGTTACGCAGCCAGCCCTAGTGCCCGGGCCTCGGGGTACCGTCGAGTTGGAGGGATCTCAGGGCACTAGAGCACGGGGGTGGACGCAGGCCCGCCCCGACAGTGGCTCAACTTTCGGCAGCGCGCCGGCTGCCCGTCGCCCCCGCTCGATTGCACAGTCTCGAGCGGGTAGACACCTCACCCCTGCGCTCCTGCGCTCTTCAGTTTTTTTTTTGTTATATTTGTATACACACATATATATATATATATATATATATATATATATATATGTATGTATATATAAACACATACACACATACATATATATATACATATACACATATATATGTATATCTCTCTATATATATATATATACAACAAGCAACAACAAATCAACCTCTTGGGAAGCTCTTAGGGGCCGCTTGGAAGCCTCGTGGGGGCCTCTTGGGGTTTCCTGGGGGTCTCTTGGAGGGGGCCTGGGACGTCTTGGAGGCTTCTTGGACGGTTTTGGGGCTATCTTGGGCGTTTTCGGCAGGTCTTTGGGCGACTCGGGGCCCTCTTGGGCCGTCTCGGGGGCCATCTTGGGCATTCGGACGTCATTTGGAGTGTTTTCGAGGTTTTAGGCCGCCTCAGGAAAAACGACCCCCGGGACTCCCCCCCGGACCCCCCCCCCACCTCCCCCGGGACCCCCCCCCCTGGGAAGGGATCAAAGGGAAGGGGCTTCCCTTCGAATCTACAACGGCATGGACAACGATGACGATCCTAACAACGAAAACCCAACGATGTCAATCCGAACAACGAAGACGACTCGGACGAGGAAGCCCTTCGCACACGCCGACAGGGTCTGCCCCTGGCCCCCGGTTTACAATTACGGCGGTTTCTACAGATATTTCCTCACAATTTCCAGAGTCGCGCTCTCGCGTGAGACTTCCTAACACTTTTGTAGGAATCGCGCTTTCGCGTAGGTTCTGATTGAAACGCCGCGCCTTCGACACTCAGGAATCGCGCCCTCGCCTGTATTTTTCTCGCGATTCATATGGGACCCGCGCTATCGCTCGAGACCTCCTGTCGATTCATGCAGCACTCTCGCTTCAGCAACCCGCCTGCTCTCCCTGGCCGCTGGGGCCCGCCTCCCCGACCCGCCCGTTAGGGTCTACCCGCCCGATCAGCCCGTCTGGTTCTGCCAGTTGTTTTCTGCTCCCAGCCCCCCTTCCTGCGAATCCCGTGCTCCATGTTTCTCCCTCCCCCATTGCATCAGCTCTCTCATCCCGTGTTTCAGGGGCTGCACCAATTACGCGCGGCAGTTAAGGAAACGATGCTTCCAGGGTGGGTACGACCGAAAACAAAGATGGCGGGTACCGAGGGTTTGGGATTTACGTGTGGAATGGCACGCGAGCAGGTAAGAGCGAACAGTGCTTAAACTAAGTGTTCAGTTGTTGATGCGGCAACCTCAATATTCCTTGTTCAACAACGGGGCTCGAGCCCTGGCAGGGGCACTTCACTTGAAAAACGCAATGGCTAACGGATGGAGAAGATGAGGATCAACAGTAGCGATTGCTCAGACATGGGATAATAGCAGCACGGGAGGGCGCACGCTCCACCCCCAATTCTTGGCCGCACGCTGTGCGGTCAGTCTTCGGTGGGGTGACGCTCAGTCGGGTCCTGTGGGTAACTGGCTGGCGCTCATTGCAGTGCTGGACCTAAACGGTGTTTTTGGTGATTTCGTGGGCCGTGTTCGTTTCGATTTCGTTTTGCAGCAAAGCCGGATTGAAGACAAAACGAAGGAAAACGAAAGCAACACGAAAACGAAAAACACCGTTTCAGTTCAGCCTTGGCTCATTGTGTGACAGCGACTCCGGCCTTGCGGAGAGGGCCCCCTGCGGCGGCGACGAGCCTCGGTGGACAACCGATCGTTCCGGCCCCGTGCTTCACACCATGCGCTGTGCTTCTCCGCGCAAGGCGCGCCCCGCGTGCTGCCACCTTCTCCTGCCCCGTCTCCTGTCGTGCCAGAAAAAAACGTTCACGAGTACCAATCGAAGCCTCTGCACTAGTGGTACCATCCTCCCTATTACCATCCGTGTGAGTGGTGGTGCTTGGTACTCCTAGCACGAGTAGTAGCCGTACTACCCCTGAGCTTGTTTTCGAAGGAAGCAGATCCCCCCAAACACGTCCGAAGAACAGCAGCAACTAAACAAACATCCCCGCCGCGGAAGCCCACCTCGGGCACGCACAGGGATGGTGGCAGAGACCCCGGCCCCCCTGTTCCGCTTGAGATTCGCGTCCGACATCCCTGGCCGGCCGAGTTTGGGCGCAGGCTTGGGGCATACGCCTCCCTGGCCAGGCCAGGAGGGCGGGACACCGTGCCACGCCACACCTCAGAGACTCACGACCGGAGCCCATGGTGCTGTTCTGCGGCAGAGCTCTCGAGCCGCATCGATCCGCGGTGGCCCCGGGCCCCGAGGCCGCGCGACGCTGCCCGGAGCGAGGGCGCTGCCACGCCCGGACCGGAGGGCACGCCCGCCTCCGGCCCAGCCAGGAAGGCGCCATGGGCACCGGCCCTGCGCGAGGTTGCAGCTGGAGCCCTCCCCGTCAAGCAGTGGCGAAGCGTCCTGGCCCGCCTATCGGCCCACCAAAGAATGTTCTAAGAACCTTTTGGGGTCTGCACGGGTTTGTCTCAGAACAGTTTTGGCTGGGACTGTCTCGTTCTAGCGCATGGCGTTTACGTTCCAAGAGCATTGTTTTCGTTATCCGACCAATTGTCGGCTTCTGAGAGAAGTTCGTGGTAGGCGTATAGGAATGCCGGGACGGTCTGTCCCCGCTCAACCCCAGGTGTGGTACTACCACGCCGCCACGGGCGTCAGCACGTTCGACCCGCCGCCCGGCTTCGGCGGCCCCGCGGACGCCCCGTGAGCGGCCCGAAAAGTGCGCGCGCGCGCACCTCGGTCCTCATGGGGCGCCCGGCGCCGCTGCGGCCCCCAGATCTCCTTCGATTTGTAGTTTCGACCGGCGGGTTCTCCTCGTTCCGGCCCTCGGGAACCATCGTCGTTCGCCGAGATCACCAGGAACGATCCAGGACGCAAGTTGCCCCCGGGGAAGCGGTCGGGCCTTCTGGGAAGCGCAGCCTGCCCAGAACCAGCGTGGCGGCATGTACTGCGATCGTCGCCCTGCTTTGCTCTCGGTTAGCGCGGATAGTACATTGGTTACACTGTGCTCGTATAAGTAGGTTAACTAAGTCAGTTGCATACAGGTTATCCTATGTTGGCTATCCGTTTTCGCCTAACCAGGTTATCCACTTAGCCTACTTCGGCTAACCAGGTTAGCAAATTGCCGCTAACCTACTTAACGTCCGATGGTTTGGGCCCTCTCGGGGCCTCCACGTCGTCATCATCGTCGCCGTCGCCGTCGCCGACGCCGACGACGCCGACGACGACGAAGGGGGGAGGTGCCCGTGTGCCGTCCGCGTGCACCAATGTACTATCCGTGCAAGCCGAGAGCAAAGCGGGTGGGTTTGCTCCTCATAGCTTGCACCGCATCGCTTTCACCACAAAGCTCACACCGCATAGCTTGCACAACATAGCTTATACCACATAGCTTACACCGCATCGCTTTCACCTCCACAATGCAATAACTCACAGTTCGGGGTCACGCTAGCTAACATTTGAGCAGGATTTCGAGGCGGATCCAGCCGTGGCGACGACGAGCACCCCCTGCAGGGACCCGAAAAAAAGGCAAACAGCGCCCGAAAACCCTGGGGGCGGGTCGAAACCTTAGAATTCTGATGTTTTTTTTTCACTTAGGTGAAGGAGGGGGAGGGGGTGCAAGGGGGGGAGGAGATGGGGGGCGAGAGAGGTCGTGTCGCGCCGCCCCGCTCGGCTGCCCGCCCCCGCCCGCCCGCCGTCGACGGCATGACCGTGACGGAGAGAGCGACCGAGAGAGAGCGAGCGGCCTCGGCCGCCCCGAGCTTCGAGGATCAACGATCGAGGAATCGAGGATCGAGGTTCGAAGGATCGAGGACCGAGGTTCGAGGGGGATCGAGGATCGACAGAGTTCTCGAGGGATCGAGGATCGAGCTTCGAACTTCGAGGATCAGGGTCCTAGGAGGATGGGGGCCCAGCGGGCCCGCGCCTTTGAGGCCCGTCGAGCGGGCCTGGGACCGCGGGAAAACCAAAATTGGGTTCACCGCTTTTGCTGGGAGGGGTGATGTCGGCGCTGGCTTTGGTGTTGGAGCGGTCTGATATGAGTTGCACCTGTGGGGCTGGTCACAGGAACCCATGCTGAACTGCGGTAGATCGTAGATTGCACCACATACATTGCACCGCGTATATTGCACGACATATGCCGTACATCACCACATAGACTGCACCGCATATATGCCAAGAGCGCCCCACAGTTCCAATATCACACACGCACATGTGTACACGGATGCTGGGCGACCGATTGGGCAACGCAATCCGCCGACCCAAATGATGACGATGCTGGTGTTGAGGATGGCGGACGGCGCTTGCGAGCAAGCTCGCATCGCGACGGTGACGATGATTGCGATGGCATGCGTACATTTGCTTCGCATAGCGGCAGGAAAAATCACTCGCGAAATACAGTTCTCTGCTGTGTCAGAATAAATTAAACTACAAGAAATTCTGCTGCTGGCCACAATGGTTGGACATGATGAGACTTTGCGGTACTTACAACAGCCGTTGCCATCTTCAACGAAAGGCCAAGGCGACACGCAGCTCCAGCTGAACCCGTCCACCTCGGCGTGAAACCACACCTCTGCAACCACCTCGCCCGAATCTATTGCCACGACGTCGTTGGCCATTACCGTCCTGTGGCATGCCACAAGACGCCTCGAGGACCTAACGGCCCTCGCGCCACTGATCGCTGACCTCATTGCCTCGACCACTTTTCGATGGGCATCCTTCAGCCCCCGCAAGGGCCCGCTGTCCAAAGAGGCGCTGATGTCATGCATGCCTTGGCACGTCATGTCCTCGAGGACTCCAGTGTCGAAGCTGGTGGTGTTGTGCCGATTGGTGCACATGGCTTTCAGAACTCTGTGTTTTCTCTCTTGCACAAACGTGTTAAGTAAGAAGCCAAACTTCTGCAGCATCGGCGCTAAATGAACACTGTAGTGGTGCTTTGGGATCCAGATCTCGCGCCCGTAAGCGTCAACGTGGGCGCGCAAATGCGAGAGCACAGCGGTCTCCAGCTCTCTCGGGGCAACAGCGTTCACGATTGTCAGCGTTCCCACCAGATCGCACAAGAGAAGGGCACTGGCGACTTCCTTAGCACAAACCCCAGTCGGGCGAACAACGTTCATCAAATACAATGCAATGACTGGCGTTGCCGATCGCATCTCTGAGGCAGATCCCCCGAACTTGCCGTCACAACATACTTTCGCACCAGATTCGTAACCGCCTGGCCAACAAAATTTCGTCAAGAATGCCCCGAGCTGCGCGTGCCCTAACGAGTGCGCGTCCAGTCGACCAAACAGCGCGCACATCTCGACCACGAAAGTGCCGCTGATGAACAGGATGTGCATCCAATCGAACATTATCAAGTTGGGCATGTCTAGAGAAAGCACGGGGCATAGAAACGCATTTTCGTCCGAGTGGTTGAAGCCAAGGAATGTTTCCAACTGGGGAAGGTCGTTGCCGCCCCCATGCGCCACGGCTTGCAACCTCTCGAGAACTCTCGTGACGGTGTCCTTCGTGTGGACCACATACTTGTCCACTTCTAAACATGCACTCGAGATAAGACGCCCCGTGTGGTCAGGCAGCCACGGGCATTTGTGAGAGACCACATTCTGACACAGCGGGCAAAGTTTGTGGCCCGAGTGCCCCTTGCATAACGCCGACAACTTGTGCGCCGCCAAGTCTTGCAATAAGCAAAATACCTCGCCGAACACTAGCTGCGGGCTGCCCAACGACAGGTCGAGTTGAACGCCGTTTTTCAAATTGTATGGCGGGGCAAAACACACATGAAGCAACCTTTTGATTCGCTGGCTCATCCCACCGTCGAGGCGATCCACCTGGCTGGTGCGGATAACTGACAACGTGAACCACCACTCCTCCACGCAGAGGAACTCAGGCGGCAAGTCTGCTAGCGTCCAATAAATTCCGTGGCATTTGCGATAATTTCTGGAGTTCAGCTGTTGGCCTGGCGTGACCTCGTCCGTATACAAGATCATCCTGACCTTGCCACCCGCCTTTTGCAATGCGCCTGCAATCGTGTCCCTGACGCGCGGGGATTGCTTGCAAGCTACTTCCAGGGCGGCCAGCGGGTGTTGAACAGGAGCCGACATGGCAGCACCGTCGTCATCAACTAAATCAAGCTGCTGGACCAGCGGGCCAAAGGATGTCTTCTGGCTGCAGAGTGCCTTGCGCTGCCTGCGCATCGTCCCCCCACTGACGGCATCTGGGATCCCGAACTCACGTGCATCCACCAGGATCTGTGACAGGGCGGCATTGGATACGTGGCTCTCCCTGCCAAAATCAATAAGCCTGAGTCGCTTAGTCATGATGACGGCTTGAGCGAAAAGCGCTACGGATCGTCGTCGTCGCGGGCCCGACCGCTGACTACTACTACTACTACTACTACTATTACTACTACTACTACTACTACTACTACTGCTGCTGCCACTACTACTACTACTACTACTATTACTACTACTACTACTACTACTACTACTAATATTACTACTACTACTACTACTACTACTACTACCACTACTACTACTACTACTACTACTACTACTACTACTACGACTACGACTACGACTGCTACTACTACTACTACTACTACGACTACTACCCCTAATAGTGCTGCTACTACTACTACTACTACTACTACTACTACTCTTACTACTCTTACTACTCTTACTACTACTACTACCACTACTACTACTAATACTACTACTACTACTACTACTACGACTACTACGACTACTACTACTACTACTACGAGCCCTCGCAAGACCTTTTAGTCGGAGGAGGGGGGATATATATGTATATATATATATATATTGCACCGCATATGTTGCAACACATAGATACACGAGTTGAGGCCCACGCTAGCGGGAGCTGCCATGCGCCTCCCTGGGCCCAACGGCACCATCCAGCCTGGGAGTGCCTCATGAGGGCCCCGCGAGGCCCTCGTCGCATGCACATGCCGATGCTCTGGGGCCAACGCCATTCCACGATCGATTTTCCTTTCGGGCAACCTCTGTCCACCAACTGCGCGGCCAACGCTGCAACCTCTGACAGCCAACTGCGCGACCAACGCCGCGCGAAGGCTGGCGCCTCTGAAAAACTGCGCTGGGACTGGAAATGCCGCGCGGATATATGCACTGCGATGTCGCAAGGCTGACGCCGCTGAAATATCACAAGGCTGTCACAAGGCTGACGCCGCTGAAAGGCTGGCACCGCTGAAAGGCTGACGCCGCTGAACGGCGGATACGAAGGGATGCGAACTGCTGCTGTGCTGAGATATCTAGCCGTAGGGCGAGTAAGCCGTCGGCGGCGGCATTGCCTGGAACGGGGCCTTCGTCACCGTCAAGATGAGAGGCCGCGGGGGCACAGCTGCCTTTGATACAGCAGGGGGCGGCACCATGCACCTGGGAGGCGGAAACAACGGTGGCCGCGGGCCTGCGGGTGGGGCCCTCGGACTGCCCTGCAACCAACTGAGCTGGCTGCCGCCGTGCATCTGCATGTCAGAGCCGATGCCGCCCGTCTGAATGTCGCCGCCGCCGTAGCCCGCGGCGTGCACGTTGTTCTCGGCCACCTGGCGCGTGAGCAAATGTTCTGGCGTCCTGGGCGCGGCGCCCGCCGAGGCGATGTCATATTGGCTGCCGATGCCCTGAATGAAGATGCCCTGGACGCCATTCGAGACGCGCGGGGTGGCGATGAACGATGGCGCGCGGACAGGCGTGGCAACGCCGTGATGAAAGATGTCCTGCGCGGCGGTGATGCCTGCATGCACGGCGACGTCCTGCGGCATGTCATGCACGGCGGTGCCGTGCGTGATGGCTCCAATGCAAGGTCGGCCCTGCGCGGCGGTGTCCTGCGCGGCGGGCGCGGCCTCCTGCTGCTCGACTCCGTCCGCGGTGATGCCCTGCGCGGAAAGATCCCGCGCGATCGCATGCTGGCCGATGTCCTTCGCATCGGTGCCCTGTGTGGGGGTTGGCGGGAGCTTCGCGGCGACGCCCGCGTGGGCGGCCCCGCCCGCGGGGGCGGTCATGCCCGCGGAAGCGGCCATGCCCGCGGAGGCGGTCATGCCCGCGGGGGGGGGCCCAGGGTCGGCCCCGCCGCCCGCGGCGGTGCCCCCCCTGCCCTGCTGGCTGTTCTTGCTGACGCTGATGTTCTGGAACGGGGACGGCTGCGACTCCGTGGTGGACGAGTCGGGGCCTGGAACTGTGAAGCGCACTGACCCGCGTTCATGTCGGAAGTGCCCGCCGCCGCCTGCGACGCGGCCCTAGCGCGCAATGCAAAACCCACGATTCCCCACGCCTCCCCCCTCACCCCTCCCCCCTCCCCCCCCCCCCCCCTCCCCATGCCCATATATTCCCCATGAGCCCCCACCCGAGCCCCCAGAGTTCAGAGCCTGTCGAGGAGCCCCCGAGAGATCACCGACAGCCCCGCGGGAGGCGGAAGGCCGAAGGCCCCTGGACAAGCACCCTGGACAGTTAGTCGATTCATGGCATGTCCAACCCTGATCGAACGTGAGGGCTCGGACCATGACGCTGATGGTCGAGGGGAACTGCTGTCCGCACCTCGTCATGGCTGAGGATACGGGAAACACCTTCGGGCTACGCCCGGGAATCAATGCTTCACTGAGCAGACTCGGCTACGGATGGAGGCTTAGGGCGTCGGTGGTTTGGGGGGGGGGTCCCCTCTTTCAATCCTTCTCTTCCCCTTCGGGGACAGGTTTGCCGCGCCCCCCCCCCCCTGCCTCCTTTCCACATGGGCATGGCGTTCCCGAGGTGACAGGATGCACTTGTTCGCGAGTGGCGGCTCCAAGGGTGCCTCAGGGGCCCGAAGACGATCTTTCAAGATGGCTCGCGATTCCCTAATACGCCTCAAGATGCACCCCAAGATGCTCGACAAAGCCCCCAGAAAGTCCCAATGCGGCTGGCTACAAGTGGCCACCGAAACCTCAAAGGCCTCCGAGAGGCCAACCTCCTGCAACGGCTTGAAAATAACACTGACTGCCTAGAGAGGGCCGAACACGTTCTGGGCCCGCCGACGGGCCCGACTCGGGTTCAGGGGGAGCGATGGGGGCCTTTCGAGGCCACAAGATGGCTCCAAGATTGCCCAAGAGGGCCACAGATGCCCAAGTAATCAATGAGTTATTGCATACGCCCCTTGGGGCTAGCGTCCATAGTGCGCGCAAGCGTCGCCGCATCCCCCGCAAACGTGCGCCTGTGTGCGATGTTGCTTCTGACAATCCTGACTGCGGGGGTGCCTTGCAGGGGTGCGCCTCTGGGGGAATGCGCCCAAAGCGTGCGCAAGCATCGTCGCCTGGCGTCGGCGGCCAGGCATCCGAGATGCCTCTGGCCATCTTGATCGCCCCCCCCCCCCCTCCTCAATCCTCAATCCTCCTCCCCCTCCCACTCCTTCTCATCATCGCCCATCATGTTATTCATAACACGTCGCTCTCCTCTCTCATCAATCCTTCCTCTTCCTTCTCAACCTCCACCTGCAAACGGTTCGGGTGCCCCCCTCGTTGCTCTTACACTACCCTCCTCGCACCTCAACTCGCCTGGGCGCCCTTTTTGTATGGGTCGGTGGAAATATGCGAAGCGCCAAGCACTGATTGGACTGGGTTGTGCCCCACGCATGGGTTGGGCCCCACGCGAGCATGCCCGCATAGTGCATTGTAGATAGCCCGACGGTTGCCAGAATAGCGCTGGGTAGCTCCCAGGACGGGTGGATTCAGATAGCTCGGCATTTACCTTACATTGCCCATTGCATATGCGTACTGCCCAGCCTCCAAGTGTGGGTGGGTGGGTGGGTGGGTGGTGGGTGGGTGGTGGGTGGGTGGTCAGTGGGTGGGTGGTGGGTGGGTGGTGGGTGGGTTGGGTGGGTGGTGGGTGGGTGTTGGGTGGGCGGGTGGGCGGTGGGCGGGTGGGCGGGTGGTGGGTGGTGGGTGGGTGGCGGGCGGGTTGGCGGTGGGTGGGCGGGTGGGCGGCGGTTGGGCGATCTACGTATCTATCTTTTTACATGTCTACCCATAGATCAGATCGGTATATATATATATATATACATACATATATATATATATATATATGTATATATGTATGTATGTCTTCTTATCTGTTTATATATATGCCTCTGTTGGTGGTTTGGGGGCGGGAGGTGGATGGTATAATCTGGAGGCGAGTCGCTTTTTCAAGCAGGCGCGGCGCAACACCGCCCGAACGCATAATGCCACAGCTGCACCACACTCGCTGCGCACGCCAACCGACATGGCCAAACGCCGTTGTCACGGCACGGCCAACAGCCGCTGCACCCTGCACGGGAAGACTGCACTTTGATTACTACCGATGCCGTCGGCCCTGCTGCACCCCCTGCTGCACCCCGTCGGCCGTGCCACCACGCGGCCAAACGCCGCTGCCGTTCTGCGCTCCATGGCACGACACGGCCAAACGCCGTTGTCCGTCCCCGCTCTAATCGCTGTCGTAGCCGTCGGTGATAATGTACCGAACCTTGAATGTAGGCCTCGCTGCACGGGCGCCCTGAAAGGCAGGGTTTGTCGGGATGTCCTCGGCCTGCATCCTGAGAAACTGCTCCCTGACCTCCTTTGGCATGCTGGCGTCGTCGAGCGACGGCCACTCGTGCTCGAGCGCCCGCTTCCGAGTCTCCTTAGTCGGGGCGAAGCGGGGAGGGTCGCCACCGCCGCTTCCTTCCTCAGAGGCTGCCGCTGCCGAAGAGGGGGTGCCAACTTTGCCGCTCTCGCTGTGGTCTCCGCCGTCATGGACATCGGCGGGCTCAGCGTCGGGCGCTTCTCCCGACTGAGGACCAGCGCTTCGGAGTTCCGATGGCGCGTGCCGCGGCCCTGCAGAGGGTACGGGGTGCATTGCCGCAGATGGCGGCGCTGGCATGCGACTACGCGCAACAGCGCCGAACGAACAAATATGAACGCAGTTCGAGCCAAAACGGCTACGGAAGCAAATGCAACCATCACCTGCCCCGCCACCGCCACCCGCGGGGGCGGGGCCATAGCGCATGGGGGCCCCACCATGTTCGCCACGAGCGTTTCGCCTGAGGCATCCCCGATGACATGGATGATGACGATGGCCATCGTGATGGTGACAGTCGGTTGTGGCATTGCCATTGTGGCCGATGGCTACATGAAGGCGAGCGCTGGCGATGCACTATTTTGCGAGGGGTGGCTGGGTGCATGCATCAATCTTGCGAAGCATCGTGCCTGCGAGTGAAGTCCACAACGGCTGCTTCTATAGCCCCGCGGTGCCAGTCCTAGCAAAGTCAGCACGCGGAGGAATGCTGCGGGGGGGAGTTGGCGCAGGGGCGGAGGAGGATGGGTTCTGAAGCGGGGCTGGGACTTCGGTGGTAAGATGAGGGACGCCAGGGCGATGAGGAGGAGGGGGAGGAGAAGGAGGATGTTGAGGAGGATGCCGATACGGAGGGGCGAAGATTGGGATCAGCAGGTGAGCGGGGGCGCTGAGGAGGGGCATGAGCGGCGGCCGCGGCCGCCTCGGGAAGCAACGCGTCGAACTGACTGGGGCTACATACAAATCGAATTCGTCTGCTCAAGTAGTAAGTTGGCGCGGCAAGCGAGCAAGCTCAGCTGGGGCGCGCGATCGTCGCCACAACAGGCGTTCACTGAGACGTGCGGCCTACTTCCCGAATACACGCTCGTACGACTTCAGCGCCACGTGGTAGACCTCCTTCGCGACGTCCTTCGCCTCGTCCTCGCCCATGCCACTCGACAAGCACCGCCTCTTGGCGATTCCGTACGCCCTCGAAGTCCAGTCGTTCTTCCCCTTGTGGTAGGTGGCCTTGCACGTGGCCTCGGAGCGGAAGTCGGAGGCGCAGGGCTTGACGACGGCCGCAGCTGGCCTCTTCCTGGCGGCGCCAGTCTGCGCGGCGGCGCCAGCGGCCTTGCCGCCCGTGCGAGCCGTAGCCGCGGCAGCGAGAACGTCGGCGACTCTAGCCTTGCCCTCCTTCTTCGTGACCTTGGATTTGAGCCCCCCCTTGCCCTTGGCCTTTGCTTTTGCCTTTGCTTTCGGCGCGCCGTCGGCCGCTGCCTCAGCCGTGGTCCTGCGCTTGCGCAGCTTGGCCGTCTCGGCTGCATCTCTGACGGCCTGCTCCAGGTCCTCAACTGGGTCGTGCTCCCGGCGACGGCGGCGATGGGCGGGGAGTCTCCCAGCATGGAAGGGTGCACAGACGAAGGCGTCGGCGCAGACGGCGAAAGCGAAGACGCCGTCCCCGCCCGAGGCGCCAGCGCAGCCAGCGGGTCGGCCGCCGCCGCGGCCAGTCCACCTGGGGCGCGCGACGCTGCACCATTCTTCGGGGCCCCGAAGATCTGCAACCCAGGGATGGTCCCCATCGCCTGCTGCATGACCTGCGCGAGGGGGGCAATCGCCGAAGTCACCGCCGTTGCCATCATCTGCTCCGTGGAAGTGCCGTAGGGGACAACTGCGCTGCCCTGCTCCTTCACACCTTTCTTGGGCTCGCGGTAGGCGCAGGACGCCGTCGCGCAAGGCAGGCCCTCAATCACGAACGGCGCGGGCTGACTGTCACCGTAAGCATGCTGCAGGTGGGCAGCGGGCAACGCCGACGGGTCAACTGGATGCACGAGGATGTGTGCCAGCGGGAACTTCTTATCCTTGTCCAAGCTCTTGACGTAGCTCCTGATATTCTTTCCGATGTTCGACTGGCTGCCCGCGCCCATGGTCGTCACCTTGAGCCCAGCCAACTGGATGATGCTCGTCGCGCGCTTCAGCACCTGGTTCGAAGGGCAGACCAGCCCCAGTTTGTACAGCTGCACGGCCACCATGCGGGTAGCAATATCAACATCGATGACATCGCCCTTGAAGTAATCGTGAAGCTGCTGCGTGAAATACTTCTCCAAGGAGTCGCATGTCTGCGGCGGCCGCGTGCCACCCGAAGGGTCGGTGCGTTCTGCGGCGGCGTTGACCGCGGCCGCGATGTTTGCCATCTGGCTGCTGGACCAGGGCCCCAGCTTAGCCTGGCGCGTCAGGCGGGCGGCACCATCCAAGCTCACGGACATCTGGCTGAGGTGGGCTACGAAGGCGCTGGCCTGAGAGTCGGACACGTCGAGGCCAACGGAGCGCTGCGACGTAACGATCTCCGAGCGCTGGTTCAGCTGCGTAACGAGCCCTTCAACCACTTGCTGCGCATGGGGAACAGCGGCCGCCATCGATGCCACCCTCGCACACGAAAACAAACAAAAAAAAAGCTGAGACCAAGCCTGAACACTCGAGCCACAACTGCTGCGGCGCGCCGAGTGTTCCCCCGACGCACCCGCTGGCAAATCCACGCACGGCTGGCGACATCGGGCCAGCGCCCGCGAGAGTAGATGGAGTGGGTGTGAGGAGGGCGGCCAAACACTCTGGATGATGAGGGTTTGAGGGTGACGATGCCGCGAGCGAGGCCAACGGCGAGCGAGGTTGCAATGTTACGATTGGGCGGTGCCAAAACGTAGCATATGTTACGTTTTAGGGGGCCCAAAACGTAACGTGTGTTACGTTTCGGGGGGTGCGATTCGTAACATCGCGTTGTTTGTGCACCTCATATGAAATGTTACGAATCGTGGGGCGCAAATCGTAACATATGTTACGTTTCAGCGGCGGCAGATCGTAACATATGTTACGATTCAGTGGTGGCAGATCGTAACATTTGTTACGTGTCAGCGGTAGCAAATCGTAACATCTGGTATGCTTCATGACTCGGTGCCCCAGAGAAGTCGCCAACTGAAAGAACTGCCCGCCCATGATCTATCATGACGCCCGTGTGCCCACCCACCCACCCAACACGCCGCCCGCGCATTTGTCACGATAGCACAGCCCGAAGCCCTGCACGCGATGGAGGGCGGCTGAGCGGCGCAACGCGCCTCTCAACAAACGTGCCGACAGCCGCGCGCACGCGCGCAGCAGAGTGCGGTGCGCGGGCCCACTCAGAGCGCACCGAGCTCGGCCAGGGCCTTCTTGAGGCGCCGAGTGTTGACGACCCGCCCCCCGCGCATGCGCGCCTTGCGGACCTGCCGCTTCGCGTCGTCGCTCCCAGCGGCGTCGCCGTCGGCGGCCAGGTCGTCGGCAACCTGCGGGCCGTCGTCGTCGGCGTCGCCGCCGCCGTCGCCGTCGCCGTAGCCGTCGCCGTCGTCGTCATCGCCGTCGCCGTCGCCGTCGTCGCCGTCGCCGTCGTCGTCGTCGCCGCCGCCACCGCCGTCGCCGTCGTCGTCGTCGCCGCTGTCGTCGCGATTGGCGTCGACGTCGGCGACGACGACGACGAACCTCGTCCTCGCGCATGCGCTTCATGGTCTCGATGATCGCGCCCTGGTCGATCCTGTACTTGCCATTGACGGTGACCGCAGTGGTGCTCGAGCTGCTCGCAGCACCCGTCGCGCGATGGCCGTGCTGCTTGGCCCACCCCTCGCCATCGTTGTAGCCGCCTCCATCGCCCTGCTGGTTGCCGCCTGCGCTGTCCTGCGGGTAGCCCCACTCGTCATCCTGCGGGTCGTCGCCCTGGGCATCTGAGTAGCCCGCCATGTCCTGCGGGTAGCCGCCCTGCGGGTAGCCGTCCTGCGGGTAGCCCCACTCGCCTTGCGGGTAGGCCCACTCGTCCTGCTGGTAGCTCCACTCGCCCTGCGCGTCGTAGAAGACCCACGTGTTGTCCTGGAGCCGCCAGTGGCCATCCATGGAGCCGCCCCGCGCGTCACGCGCGCGGCCGCCCCGCCCGTCGCCCTGCGCGGTGTCGCCCCAGCGCCACCACCAGTCCTCATCCGTGTACTTGTACGAGTGCTGCTCCAGCGCGCCGCGGCCGTCGTCCTGCTGCTGCGCTGTGTCCTGCTCCTGGTCGTGGCCGCCTCGCTCGTCCTGCTCCTGGTCGTGGCCGATCGTGTCCTGCTCCTTGCCGTGGCCGCTCGTGTCCTGCTCCTGGTCCTGTGGCTGCTCCTGGTAGTGGCCGCCCGTGTCCTTCTCCTGGTCGTCCCAGATGCGGCCCATGAAAGCCCGTGCCGTCTGGGCGCGCTTCCACTCGAAGTCGGCGTCGGTAGTGGCGGCGTCGGTGCCTCCGCGCGGTGGCGGCGGCGGCGGAGGCACGGTTGGCGGCCTCGGCGCAGGGCGGTCGCGGTCTCGCCATAGGTGGGTTTGCGGAGGATCGCCAGGGGGTTTCGGCAGCTTGGGCATCTTCTTCGGCGTTGGCTGAAACCTCGGCTTGGGCGTGTCGGGCTGGGCGGCCGCCGCAGCGGGCTCGGCGGGCGGCGCGGCCGTCTCGGCAGGCCGCCTCGCCCATCGGCGGATGCGAACCTCGCCAGGGGAACTCTGCGCACGCCGCACCCCCCATCCCCAGGTTCGCTTCGGCGTGGCAGCAAGGATGTCCGCCATGACCACCAGCGTGAGCATCGAGCGCGCGGCGCCATCGCCAGCGCCCCCGCTCGAGGGCGAGGAGGCTGTGCCACGCTCCATCGGGACGCGGTCGGCCCCGCTGGGCGCGCCGCCTCATTAGCCAAAATGGCAGCGGGACTGGGGGCCTCGAGGGCGAGGACGAGGAGGAGCAAGATGAGGCTGGCGCTGGGAGTGGCGATGCTGATGCTGCAGGGTAGGGGTTATGATGATTACGGTGCCAGATTAGGGGCTCTATGTGGCATGCCTTGGGGCCATCTTGTGTCTTATTGGAGCCACCGCCAGGCCTCGGAACGCCAAGACGCTGCAAACAGTATAGTTCCCCCTACGCGTTGTAAGGACGTGGGCCTCTTGTGGGGCTCATTGGAGCTCTCGTGCGCCACTTGGAGCCGTCTTGAAGGAGCGAGTCATGGCATGTTAACGCATGGCTCGGAATGGGGGGTCCATGGTAGTGGGGGCGGTACGAGTGGGAGTCGGAGAGGGCACGTGCAGCTCGCGAGCATGCTCGCGAGCTGCGCGGCCGTGCACGGTCGCACAGCTGACGAACATGGTGATGAGTATTGTGAATGTTACGACGATGTTGCAACATATCCACCCATAGTGACGATAATGGTGAATGATGATGGTGACGATGCTTCTCTGATGCACACAACGTCTGGGAGCAACTAGCGGCTGGGCAGCTCGCACCCTATCGGGCTACCACGTGATCCCCATCGAGGGCAGCTCGCGAGCACGCTCGCAATGCCCTGCTGCTGACAAACATGCACGCGCCATGCTAACCAACTGCCACGCTCACTGGCCACCTGCGGGCGAACCGACACCTGCCGATGGCGGCTCTGGCTCCTTCTCGCTGGCGTCCTTGCAGAACTGCGCGAGAGCGGCCGTCGCCTCGTTAGCCTTGAGCTGCACGAAGTCGGGGTCATTGCTGCGGGGGGCGGGCAAGGAGTGGAACCTTGTCTTCTGCTTCGCGGCGTCGAAGTACCTGCAGTACACGCAATGGCGAGACGCCCACCACTTCACAGTCTTGTCATCGATCGTCGGCACGAACTCAACGAGGGAAGGGTGGGGCTTCACCAGCAGCAAGTTCAAGTTGGTGGTCGACAGCTCGATCCATGGAGAGCTCTGGGGGTTCCAATCAGACAGGACTTTGACTATGGACTCGTTGCCTTCGGCTGTCTTGACCACCGCGCCGAACGTTGCTGGAACATCGTCTGCCATCTCCTTGCGCTTGCGCTTCTGGCCATGGGGGTCGCCAGGCGCATCTGCATCCCCCAATGGATCACTCTCGACCGCCTTCTCATTGACTGCAGTATCGAATGCATCGTTTCTAAGAGTAACCACAGCGTCCACCATGGCCAACTCATTGCCCACAAAACGCTTGAACGATGGGTCGCCCTTGCAAGCATGAAAGAAATACACCCCATCGACAGTTTTGAGCTCTGCATTCCATTTCGGCTTGCCTTGCTGTATGTGACCGCCGCCCACCTTAGCTTGCAAGACAAAACTGGCCTCGGCGGCGGCCATGGTGGCGTGCGCAACGATTGATCAGCACGGGCTGCGGAGTGGCAGCGGCGGTGGCGTGGGGGAGGGGGAGGGAGAGCGGGTGCCTGGCCCCTCCAGCCCAGATGGGCGTCGGTGGTGTGGGTCGCCCCCCATTCCTGCCAAATTCTCCCCCCCTTCGGGAATGGGTTCCCCCTGTTGTTCCGATCGTTGGACAGATGGATATAGTGATGGATGTAGATACACAAATATGTAACGAAATACTGAAAACATGTAGGTATATCGGTAGGCACGCATATAGATGTGTATGTATATCGACATACATATATATTTAGATCGTGATATGTATGGTATGTATATATGTAATGGCGGATGTATAGATATGGATTTCTACGCGCACATATTGATATACGCAAGAATCAATAGACATGCAGATAGGTAGGTAAGTCGACAAGACCCCCCTGACAAAACACAGCCATCGATCGACCGAAGCGACCACTCAGGTCACTTTAAACAGACCCCGCATGTTAAGGTGACCGTTTGGGTCGCGTCGGGGCCCGCTTGGAGTCCACGCGGGGCCCTCTTATAGCGTTCTGCGGGTCCCCATTGCAGCGCTCTCGGGGCTTCCAATAGGCTCCAAGATGATCTGGGAGGACTAGGCGGGGACCCTCTGTGGGCCCCAAGAGCACCCTGGAGGGCCACCATGAAACCAAAACGAGTTTAAGGTGATCTGTTGTGCTACCTCGGGGCCCGATTGTGGGCTACGCGGGGCCTTCCTGTTGCTTTATGCGGCATCCCACTGCAGCGCTCTCGGGGCCCACAATTAACCACAGGAGGGGCCCTAAGAGCCCTGGATGGCCACACTAACATTAAAACGATGCTGTGGTCACCGCTTGGGTCGCTTCGGAGCCCGCTTGAGGTCCACACGGGGCCCTATTTGCACTCTTGCAGCACCCTGGGTGGCTCCCATTTGGCTCCAGTGGGCTCTGGGAGAACCCCCGCCCACCACCTTCCCCCCCATTCCCCCATCCCCCCCCCTCTCCGCCCCATCAGCCCTCAGGGAGCCCCACTGATGCCACCGCGTCGGCGGCGATCCCTATAAGGCGGAATCGCCGCAACTACCTAGTCCCAGCCGCGCACCAACCTGGCCGAACGCAGCCCAAAAATGGGGGCTGCAGAACACCGCAACGGCTTCCAATATGGCTTCCAGCATGCAGACGGCCGTCCAAGAGGG